ACCTCTTCCTTGTGTTCTTTAACCTTCCCTCTCTACCGAATCCTTCCCCATTGTCCCATAAACACACATGTCTTCTTTAGTGTTGAATCAAAATTTCTCTACTTCTGCAAACCCCCACATTCTGTTATCCATCTTTATCTCTCCTAACTTTTCTTTTGGCAGTACTGGGATTTGAACTCAGGGCCTTGCACTTGCTAAGCAGGCGCTCTACCACTTGAGCAATGCCCTCAGCCCACCACCTTAATTTTTAAGTCTCTACATTTAAATATGTTGCTTCCATGCACTCACTAAATACTCTTAAATCCTTCATAGCCTGTCAGTGACTGCTGGGTTGCCAAAATTAACACCTCATCATCCTCTGCAACTCTGTGACATTTAATCTTATTGACCATCCTTCCCCTAGAAGACCTCTTTCCCTTGGCCTACAGGCCACTGTCTCTCTTTAGTTCTCTTCCCATCCTTCTGAAACTCATTTATCATCTTCTTCCTCTTCCTATGGTTCAAGCCCAGTGTTCTTCAGCCCTTGGATCTCATGTCTCTTTCTGCAGTGGCTCCCTCAATCTCAGCTTCACTCTTGTCTTTACATAAGTGAATCTCATTTCTAGATTCACAGGCCTGCCTTTTCAGTCCCACTTTTTTGTTTGTTTGCTTTTTTGTTTAAAACAGGGTCTCATTATGTAGCTGAGGCTGCCCTTGAACTTGCAATCTTCCTGACTCAGCCTCCAGAGTGCTGCCTTCACCACCACTCATCCATTCCCACCTTTCTAACCTCCATGAGATGACCCCATCCACATGTCCTGTGGGCACTAACATTTATAACGATCCAACTGAACTTTTAGAATGTGTTCTCCTTTCTTATACTCCCAGTGTCTTTTTTCCAGCCAGATCATTCCTCCAGTGACCTAAAGGAGGTTCCCTTCCCACACTGGCTCAACAGATTGAGAAGTTCAGTTGATCCAACCCCAACTCTCTGTTGGTATTAGTCCCTTCTCCCCACTCTCATGGCTCACCAGAGGACAAACCCTCATACTTGCATTCCTGACGTGGCTGACTAATCCACTTTCCCTCACTTTGCTCCCTCATTTTATTCCTTCCCTATCAACATTCCCAGATGCATTTTCCCAAAACCATCCACAACTACCTACTGCTCACAGAATAAAGCCCCCTTCCTCAGGCTACCACTCAAGGGCCTTCACACTTCAGCTCCAACCTGACCTTCCAAATGGATTTCCCAATGCCTCCACTCCCAGGTACCCATCTTTATTCAAGACTGAATGATGACCTTTCCTGATTCTCCCTACAACCCCATTCTTCTGACTCCATGAGTTGGCTCACCCTGTTCCCTTTACATGGAATTCCCTTCCTGCCATCTTTTCATGTCTGAATCCTACTTTCTTCAAGACCCAGATTGAAGTTCTCTCATCTTAAAATACTACCTCAACACAAGACAATTTCCTCCTTCCTTCAGCTCCTTGCTTTTCCAAACTTCCCTTATGACACATTGGTACAGTCCATACTGAACCACAAGCATGCCGAGGACAAAATGCCTATCTGGATTCCTCTAGTCACATACATAAAAAACAGTAGGGATGCAGTACATATGGGATGAGTTCATGAAACAAAGCAACGTGGCAAGGTGTTTGAATGAAGGGCTTTACATACTCAAGCAACATTTCATCTAAGAGCTGTGCCATGGAGGTCTGGACTTATGTTTATGGTATGCCCATCCCACTACCTCACAGCAGCAGACCCTACCCCATCCCACTCCTCCAGATGTCACCTGCACAGTACCCAGTTCTGTCCTTGGCTCCTCAGGCCAGGACAGAGGCAGAAGCAGCTATCTTCCTTCTATATTCATAGGGGGCTGGGCCCCTTTTCATCCCACACACCCAAGTGAGCACCAAATGGCCAGTTAGATGCAACTGGCCTTGTCTACACCTCCCTCTGGTGATAAGTGGACAAAAGCACTGACCGAGCAGGAAAGAGATTTAAGTCCCAGCTCTGGCCTGCCATGAACTAGCTGTTTGACCTTCACAGTAACAACCGGACATCGAACAAAACCAGCATTTACCAAATTGCAGTTCCTCAGACCACCAGACAAGGTGTCACTGTTTTGAGGGGGGACACATTTATAAGCATATCTTGGGCTAGCACTCTGTAGACTTGATGTAGGAAATGAGAAATGGGATGCTCCCTATGGGTTTATCCAGTCATAATAAGTTAGGAGTTGGGAACTCAACTTCAGGCTGTTGGAAAGGCTTCTGAGGTCTCTTCCATAGACCCCTGAGCTCAAGCCTTTCTCTCAGTGGCCTCCTCACAGTGGAAGGTAATAGATGGGATGCCCTGTTGAAGAAACAGGAATGAGGCCTTCTTCTGGAAATATCAGTCTCCAAGAAGAGGAGGGTGTGGAGAGGCATGGACACATTAAGCCTGGACTCACAGATGGGTACCCCCGGTGTGCACCAACCCCTTGACATTGGGATGGCAAGGTGGAAACCAAACAGATACACAGGTCTGTAAACCAGGACTGGGCTGGGAGTGGATGACGATGAAGTATGGAAAGACACAAAATCCCAAGGTCCCCCATCTCTGCCTCAAACAACAGGAGGGACAACAGGAAGCAAAGGTGTCCTGAATCAGCCTTTAGCAATAAATGCTAATGGTTTAAACCCAAAGAAATGCTTTCTTGGCACCATCGACCCACCCCCACCTTCGAGGGAGTCAAAGAACCAAAAGCATCATGCCCAGAAACTTTCCCTGGGTGACCTTATTCCCAGCCCCCTTTCATAGCTACATACAGGCAGGGTCTGCCAGAAAGAGGCAGGCAAGGAAGGAAAGGAATCCCTGGGTGGAATGAGAACAGCACTGCTGGGTGTGCCTCTGTCACTGGCTAGAATAGGTCCCTTCATTTCTCTGGGTTTCCTCCTCTTCCCTGGACAATGAGACCAATCAAACCATCTCTAAGGTCCCTCCCCTGCCCTTAAATAAACCTATCCCCATGTCAGGTTCTCAAACCATGGAGAGGATCCAGGTAATTACAAAGACCTGGATGTTACAACACCTGGATGGGTGTTGTAAGTCAGGGGTAGAAACCAGGGAGGCATCTGGTGATGGGGGCCAGGCTGCTCCATCTGAGTTTTGACATTGGCACTAGTGACTGGAGGCCAAAGAATGAGGGTTGCTTGATCTCCTGGCAGGGAGGTGATGGGTACTGAAGAACCTACCAGACATCTACAGAGAACATGGAAGCAACATGGGGAGAAAAGAAGGGTAATGCTCCAGGGTCCCACCCTGAGAAGCAGGTAGGCGGTAGACTTAGAACATCTGCTCCACACAACCTAGGGCTGAGCAAAATGAGAAGGAAGGTAGAGTAGGGAAAAGAGTTCAGGGGCAAAGATCTGACCTTTCACCAGATGGCAAATTCCTGGGGAAAATCAACCATTAGGAAGGACTGTCATCCCAGGTGGTGTGGGAAAGCCACCTGGTAGCTTGGACCCTCTTGTTAGGTGCAGGAGGAAGCCATTTTTGCACACCCAACTGGGCATAGTGGCAATAAGGTGAGTGGACACCAGGAGGGAGACAAGCTTGCACACTGATGCACAGCAGCAGGCGCACACCTCTAGGCCCCAGAAACAGCCAAAGAGAGGACCCTCACACAAAGCACTTGTCTCGCTTCTCCACAAGACAAGCCCCCAGCACAGCCTGTGGAACATTCTAGATGTCTAGTTTCCTCGGTGGGAGGAAAAATAAATGATGTCCCTAAAAGGCTAAAAATTCCTGGTGCCCTGCTATGTGGAAGCCTCGAGGTGGCAGCTGGGGCTTGGCCCAGTAGAGGAGGGGCGGGGAAGGGGAGAGGGTGGCAGTGGCTTGGGGCTCAAGATCCTATTACATGGCTGTTTCCATACTTAGCCACCTGACAGCCGCTTGGAATACTCATCACTCCAGCTACTGCAGCCCTGCAGAGACCAAATTAACTCAAGGGCAGACAAGGGCAGGGCCCAGCAGTGCACAGTGGCTGGAGCCCCCCCACCTTACCTCTCTAACCCAAAAGGAATGGCTTCTGCTCCTCCTAATACCTTCTCTCCTCATTGTCCTGAAGCCCCTATTCTTAGGAGACAGAATCTCAGAGACCTGAAAAACTGGGACCTGAGATTCCCCAGTCCCATGTGCAGAAAAAAAACTAAGGGCTGGTTGGAAGACAAAGTGGAGAGCCCTAGATTTCTAGAGGGGATTCCAGAGCACCTCCCTGAAACATCCCCAAGGGGAAGCGAGCCCCAGGAATCTTAGAAACAAGAGAGGTGGCAAAATGATCGGGTGTCCCCTCCACAGCCTATAAATAACCCTTGGGCTGCAACCCAAGCCAGCACCTCTGCCATACAAAGTGCTGAGATGTCAAAGGGAAGCCAGGGTGCATAAAGCCAGGCCCCTTCCTGATGAAACCCCCTCCCTCCCCCTTGCAGAGGCTCTCCCCCAAAATGGGTCCCATTCCTCCAGTCTCTGTGTCCAATTCTGTTTGCAGCCCGTCCTCCAACTTCAGTTCTGGTGCAACTGTATGACTCACTGTTCACAAAGTGATCCCAATTTTGCCTACCTCTGTCCTCAGCTATAGCCAAGGCCTCCACCCTATCTTCCACCAGTTGAGAGGGTTGCCCAAACAACCTCCAGCTCCAAGATTGGGTTTTTTTTGCCCATCTCAGAGGCTCCTGCAGGCTTGACTTTTGGTGTTCTCTTTTCTAGAAACTGTGGGCCAGACTTCTCTGTCCCTGGCCCAGGCCACTGGTCCATCTGCCTCTCTACACTTTCTCTAGCCTCCTGAGAGCCCCAATGCTGGCTCCCAGTTCTCTCCAGCACCTCACTCTCCAGAGTCAGGCCCAGAAAAGGGTGATAAGTGACACCAGCAAGGAGCAAAACTTTGCCATCAGTCCCAGTCCCTACCCCACTGGAAACCCCAGGGGAGTGACAGGGGACACAGTGGGGGCCACTCATGCAAGAGGCCATACCTGCTTGTCCAGAGAGCAGAAGTGAGGCCAGGAAGCAGCAGAGCAGGAGCAGCGCCCTCATGGTGACTGCCAAGAGAGCCCAGCTGCTCCTCGCCTCTATTTATATGGTGGGTGAGGCAGCAGCAGCAGGCAGTGGAGGGAGGGGGAGGAGGGTCACACAGTCACTAGGGCAACTGTGCGGTTGTGATGGGGAAGAAACCCAGACCCCAAAGGTAACTGCTGACCCAAGACAGGCCCAAGACTAAAGTCTCTGCTTCCACCCCCAGCAGGGATCACATGATGTAGGTCACAGGGTAGAGGCATGGGATAGAAAGTGGGGTGTCCTTTGGGCTGAAGTCCAGAAGTTAGGAACTCAAATCTTCCCAGAACTTGCACTAACCTTGCCCTAAGTCTCATGCTGGTCAAGGACCTGCACATGCCTCTGGATGAAGGAATAAGTTGTAGGGCAAATCAAGACACATCCTATTTGATAGCCACTGATAAGCTAGCAAATGGCCAGCATTTCCTTAACTAGCAAATGGCCAGTTAAGGAAAACCTGTGACATCTGACCTTTGCATTTGATGGCTGGGGTTTAGCCTTCCTCTGTAGAGAGAGTGCTGAGCAGAGGGAAAAAGGGAACACTAACAGGAGTGGTTGAGAGACATGGTGTAAGTCGGAGGAGGAACTACAGAGATCCACTTCACTGGATCCATGTCCAGGCATCTCTGCAAAGCACTATTTGATTCCGTCTTCCCAAGGGCATGTGGTGTCCCTAAGAGCCAGTTATAGGATGCTGGGGGACAGAGACACTGGTTTCTGGCTGGGAGTGGGTGGGAGGGGGGCACGGTATCTCCATAACAAGAGGTAGCATTCCACGATGGAGGAAAGGAACTGAAAGTAAGCTAGACATGTTATATGCTAGGGGAGTTACATTTTTAATACAGCTTTACTGAGATATAATCAATAGAAACAAGCAACACGTTTAAGGGGTACAAATTGGGCTGGGCAAGGTGGCTTGTGCCTATAAATCCTAGCCACTTGGAAAGATTGGGAAGATCACAGTTGCAGGCCAGCTAAGGCAAAAAGTTGGTAAGACCTCCATCTCAACAAATCATTTAGGTACGGTGCTGCGCTTTGTAATCTCAGCAAGCAGGAAGCTTATAGGCAGAACGATCACAGTCTGAGCCCAGCCCCAGAAAAAAAACACGAGACCCAGTTTTAGCTTCTCTGCTCCACGGGATGCACGTCAAACACAAAGTGCTTTTGCTTCTCTTTTCTATTTTTCTCTACTTTATCCTGTTTTGCTAAATAACTTGCTAGCAAAAAAAAAAAAAAAAGAGAGAGAGAGAGAAGAAAGAAAGAAATGAGACACTATCTGAAAAAAAAAATCTAAAACACAAAGGACTGGAGGCATGGTTCAAGTGGTAAAGTCCTTGTCTAGCAAGCTCAAGGTCCTGAGTTCAAAACCTGAGCCTTGCAAAAAAACAAAGGTTACAAACTGATAAATTGTGGCATAAGTCCTTAACTGTGTGGCCAACAGCACAAGCAAGATAATTAGCAGATTCCTCACCCCAGTGTTCCTCCTGTTCCTCCACAGTTTCTCCCTCTGACCACTCCCAGGCAATCACCCATGTGCTTGCTGTCACCAAACATGGGTTTGCATTTCCTAGATTTTGCTATAAATGGAGTCATACAGAGCTGGAGGGAGAGGCTCATGTAGTAGAACACCTGCCTAGCAATCATGAAGCCCTGAGTTCAAATCCCAGTACCACAGGGGGAAAAAAAGGAACCATGCCATGTTTTTAACTGCTTCTTTCACACAGCATAACTGAGATGTATTCGTATTGTGTCAACAGTTCGTTCCTTTGTATTACTGAGAAGTCTTCCTCTGTATGACAGACCACAATTTGTTATTCATTCACCTGTCAATGGACGTGAGGGTCATTTCCAAGGTGGGGCTATTACAAATGAAGGTGCTATGAACACCTGCATTCGTGTCGACTTACGTAGGCTTTCGTTTCTCTCTGGTAAGTGCCTAGCGGTGGAAGGCTTGATAGCTGTACCATTTTATAGTCCCACCAACAGTACATGAGAGTTCCAACAGCTGATCTGGCTTCTGCGTCTATGTGCTGGCGATGGAACCCAAGGCCTTGTGCATACAAGGTACGCCCTCTATCACTGAGCCACAACCACCAGTCCCTTAAGTTGGACCATTCTAGTAGTCTCACTGTCATTTTAAACTGTATTTTCCTAATAACTAAGGATATCAAACATATTTTATTGTATTTATCACATACTTCTTTGGTGTGTTTTTGATGAATTATCTATTCAAATATTTTAGCTATTTATTATGGGCTTTGTTAGTCATTTGTACATGCGGAATATAAATCCTTTATCAGATATATGATCTACATTTTCTCCTAGTCTGTAACTCATCTTTCCATTCACTGAAATGTCTTTCAAAGAACATAATGAGAACAGGTTGTTCTTGCTTTAGAGACAACCCGCTTTCAATCTATTGAAAGTGTATTCCTTTCCTAGCGAACTTTACTATCACTTACACTACAAAAAAATTATTCAATTTTATCAAATCCACATTTACAAACTATGAATTTTTTTGTCTTTTGTTTGTTTGTTTGGTGTTTTTTGGCTTTGGGTTTGTTTTTTTTTTTTTTTTTTGCCCTACTGGGGTTCGAACTTAGGGCTTTGCACTTGCTAGACAGGTGCTCTACTGCTTGAGCCACACCTCCAGCCCTGAATTGTGCTTCTGGTGTCATATCTAAGAATTCTTTGCCTAAATCAGGCATGGTGGTGCATGTCTTTAATCCCAACATTCAGGAGGCTAAACAGGAGGATCTCAAATTTGAGGCCTGCATACATAGTGAGACCCTATCTCCAAAAAACCAAAACAAATGAACAAAATCAACAATAATAGCAAAAAAAAAAAAAAAAAAAAAAAAAAAAAAAAAAACCTCTTTTCCTAACCTAGGGTGACAAGGATTGTCTTCTACATTTTCTTCCAGAAGTAAAATAGTTTTAAGTTTTACAACTAGATCTATGATCCACTGTTTTTAGATATATTTGTAAACAATGGACCCCAGTTTAGTTTTGACATACGGATATTCATTTGCTCAAGCACCATTTGTTGAAGACTATCCTTTCTCCTCTGAATTGCTTTTGCATCTTTGTTGAAAATCAACTGACTTTGCATATGCATGATGGTATTCTGGACTGTATCCCTTTCAAATACTGTTTTTCTATCATTTTGCTAACACACTGCCTTGATGGGTTTCCAGTTAAGTCTTGAAATCAGGTAGTGCAAATCCTCCAGCATTCTCCTTTGGAATTCTACACAGACAAAATTCTAGCTCCTGTGCACCTCCATATAATTTTTTTTTAAGATAAGACCTTGCTATGTAATCCAGGCTGTCCTCAAACTTGTGATCCTCCTGTCTCCGCCTCCTGAATTGAGCCAGGATTACAAGCTTGTGCCATCATGATCAGCTCCATATGAATTTTATAATCAGTCTGTTAATTTTAATGAGACTTGGATTTTAATTGGGATTACAATGAATCTACATGTCAGTTGTGAGAACAAGTTACTGATTATGATGGTGGATTTTATGTTTCTACTTGGCTAAGCTACAGTGTCAGTTGTTTGGTCACACACCAGTTTGGATACTACTGTAAAGGTTTGGTTTTGTTTGGTAGTACTAAGGTTTGAACTCAGGCCCTTGTACCTGCTAGGCCCTTGCACTCTACCACTTGAGTCATGACTCTAACTCACTGTGAAGGTATTAACACTTAAAGATTGTGAGTAAAGCTCTGGAGGCAGATGCAGGAGAATCAAGAGTTTGAGACCAGTCTGGGCTACATAGTGAGACCATGTCTCAAAAAACAAAACAAAAAAGGCCTTGAATAAAGTAGATTGCCCTCTATAATGTAAAAAGGCCTCGTGCAGTCATCAAAGGCCTCAGAAAGAGACCGAAAGTTCCTGAGGAAGGAATTCTGTCTTGAGACTGGCTTTAGACTCATGACATCAAGTCTTGGAATTTCCAGCTTGCCAGCATCCCCTGCAAATTTCAGACTTGCCATCTTCCACACACTCTCTCTAAATACACATCCTATTGGCTCTGATTCTCTGGAGAACCCTACTACATCAATACAGAGTCTTTCACCTTGTGCATGGCTGGGGGAGGATCTCACTGTAGAAGAGGAAGAAGTAGTCAGTCATGAGAGAAAAGAAACTAAAAGTAGATGAAGCAATCCCTCTGTGTTAGGTACTTTACATATAATGAAACATAAGCATATCCTTACTCACAGGAGATCAAGGGTCAGGGAGCAACTGGTTCAATGTCACACAATGAATGGAGTTGTCTGGATTTGAACCCAGCTCTGTCTAAGTCATACACCTCACTGTTTTCATCACTCCAGTGAACACCATCAGGGAAGAAAGGAGGCAGTAGAAAGGTGCAGGGAGCATATGAAGGGCACAGGCTGAAGGATCAAAGCAACCCACACAGGAAGGAAAAGGGTGAGCCCAGCACTACTTAGATGGACAGATACTTGCATGGTATCCTTGCACACCCTGTTCCTAGCAGCACCATTCACAAAAGACAAAAGGTAGAAACAACCCAAGCGTCCACCAGCAGATGAACAGAAGCAAAATGTAGTCTCTAATCTCAGCTATTTGGGAGTCAGAGATAGGATCACAGTTCTAGGCCATCACAGGCCAAAAAAAGAGTCAGTGAGATCTTATCTCAAAAAAATAAGCCAGGGGCACCAGTGGCTCACACCTGTAATCCCAGCTACTTAGGAGGCTTGAGATCAGGAGGTCTGACGTTCAAGGCCAGCCTGGAGAACAGTTTGTGAAGATTCCTCCCCCATCTCCAACACAATCAGAGCAAAATGGACTAGTGGTGTGCTCAAGTGGTAGAGCACCTTCTTTGCAAGCACACTGTCCCCACCAAAAAGAAAAAAAAAAGAAAGAAAAAGGCCAGGCATGGTAGTACATACCTGTAATTCCAGCTACTTGGGACATGGAGATTAGGAGGATGGAGGTCTGAGGCCAGTCCAAGGAACAAAGCAAGACTCCATCTGAAAAAT